CAGCTTTCAGCGCTGTTGCACTTTGATTGACAATTGCGCAGTCATGCAAGATTGTACCCATATGAAATTTTTTATCATTTTTTTCTCACAAATAGAGCTTTGTTTTGGTGGATTTAATTGCTGCTGGGCGCTTTACTTTTTGTGCTATAAGCAAAAAATTGCAAATAAATTTGAAAAAAAAAGTTTCTTTGTTTCTATTATAAAATTTTTCAAACAAGTAACTTTTCTCCACTGATGTGCGTTAATGAGGCAGCACTGATGGGCACTGATAGGTGGCACTGATAGGCGGCACTGTCGGGCACTGATAGGCGGCACTGATAGTTGGCACTGATAGGGGCACTGATAGGCAGCACTAATGAGGTGTCACGGATAGGTGGCACTGATATGCGGCACTGATTGGTGGCACTGATAGGCGACACGGATAATGGCACTGATATGACGGCACTGATTGGTGGCACTGACTGACATCACTTCTGGGCACTGACTAGCGGCACTGCTGGGCACTGACTGGCACAACTGCTGGGCACTGACTGGTGACACTGACTGGCAGCACTGCTGGGCTGCACTGATGGGCACTGGTGGGTGGCACTGGTGGGCACAGGTGGGTGGGCACAGGTGGGTGGCACTACTGGGCACAGGTGGGTGGCACTACTGGGCACAGGTAGGTGGCACTTCTGGGCACAGGTGGTGACACTGCTGGGGTGGCACAGGTGGGCGCACTGCTGGGCACAGGTGGGCGGAACTTGTGTGTGGCACTGCTGGGCACCGATCATCAGGGCACTGATGATCAGTGACCCTGATGATCGGTGCCGATCCCCACTCTGACAACTGCCGGTTTTCGGCAGTACTTTCCTCACGATCTGACAGCGTGAGGAAAGTGCAGCCGAGAACCGGCATTTGCATTTCCCGGTGATCAGCATGTCATTGGACGCGGCTGATCACGTGGTAAAAGGCCGCTGTGATTGGCCTTTTACCACGTCACGTGATCAGCTGTGTCCGTAGGACACAGCGATCACGGAGATCGCCGGGGGGCGCCCCAGCGCAGAGCGTGTTCTGAGAGGATGTCATATGACGTCCACCCAGAACTGGCCGGCCGCAGTGCAGCCGTCATTCGGCTATCTGCAGTCGGAAAGTAGTTAAATATATTTACAAAAAGATGGACATATGCAGGTAGATTAATGTTAATATTATAAAAACTGTTCTTTTTCTGGGTAGCCGCAGGGTTCCATTTGATATGAACAAATTTAATCATTTATACCACATTCCAAACTATTCTTAATAACTTTCCAATAAGTAAAAAATATTTAATCTATTTTTTTTTTAATTTCTTGCTCCTTTGGGTAATTTTTTTCTCCCTCCTTGCACAATATATATTAGTTATGCAATGCAATCCCTTAACCTTTTTTGGTGTTTTCAAAAAAATTCTGAATATAAAGCCTTAAACTTGAATTATCCAGTCTTTCTCAGTTTATGGATAAATTTAGAATTATATTAAAAACATTTTCTTGCTCAGTCAGTTCTACTGTGCTTTCTAAATTTATATTCAGCTTGTAAAATCCTTTGGTTTTTGGAGTCCTGTTGAGAGTTGCTTAAAGAGCTCACGAACCTGATACTTTTTTTTGTATGTGTGTGATGGGAATTTACTGCTGTGTTAGATACCATGCACGTCTTTGATCTCTTCTTTTTGTATATGTTTTTATGCAGTGCTTGTGCTTCACTCTGTTTATGAAACACAGCTATGATGTAAAACTGTCCTGTTTTTTTTAACTGATAGTTCTCATTGAGAAGATAAAGGTACTTAAAATTCTGGACATTTCTTCAAATTTTTTTTTTTTTCTCATTGTTTTACAACTATTTTTATTCTAAGTAGATACAGCACATATCTATAATCTGGTACTTCAAAATTATTTGAATATACCCTTTAAAACATTATTGATTCAGAAGAAAAAACAATGTTTTTAAGATAATTGCCTCTGTGATTATAATATGTTTGAGGCATATATTTTATATTGCCAGCTGGTTATTTGTAATGATGGCACCTTATTTACCAACAACAAAGTACTACTTAGAGCTTGTGACAGGTAAAAAAATAATTGAAAAAAAAACCTTAAATCGTTTTGTCCTTTTAAAGGCCCTACATTTACAGAAAAAAAAACACTTGTTGATCTGCCAGAAATGCACTCCGCTCCTAATGTCCTCTTGTGCAATGACACTACATGCCTTTTTGTGGACTGAATTTGCAAGAATTGGTGTCATACCTGTCCAGTTGTATGTTGTAAAACTTTATTAAAGTAATTTAATAAATTTACAAGATTTTGCCTACTATGATAATTTTTGTATATTTAACTATTCTTTGCTGGATTTTTAATGCTAGCCTGTTTTCTTCTGTTTCATCATACTCTTCATTATATTTCTTCATCATATTACTAAAAACCTGTTTTTTTTAATATTGGCACATATTAAGATTTTACATGCTTAGTACATTTTTCTCTGTTATTCCAGTCATCGTTTATAGAAACATAACCAAACAGAAATCAGATATTGTGAAATTCTTGCATGTTTTCTGCACATGTGCTATTTTTGCTAAAATATAATGAAAAATACAATTAACATTTCTCTCAGGGGCTAACTGACAACTCATGGGCCCCCCCCCGGGCAATAGGGGATCATGGGGCCCCTGTGTCCTTGCCCAAACTCAAAAAAGCCTATAAAAAAGGTACCAGGGGCATCTCATGGGGCCCCCTACTGACCCTGGGCCCTCAGGAAGTGCCCGAGTTTCCAAATGGTCAGTCCGCCCCTGGATGCAGGTTTTGCAGGAAGTGGTGAGTAGTTTAAATTCAGGAAGACTTGCTATAACAGTGGTAAAAAAGAGCAAGGGTGGAGTCCAATTTTAATCTCCTGTAACTCCCTGCATTTTTAAACCTGAATATAAGTTCAACTGCTACAAAAAAAGACATATTATTACAAATCAAATAAACTTAAGATCCTGTATATATAGTCACAAAAAGCTTACAATGAAAACTTTTAGAATAAAGAAATCATATAGGCTGGGGGGAGGGGTGCTTTGATGTCAGGAGAGGAATTAAACTTTATGCTAGCCCTCACTCCAGAGCAGCTTGTGGTTCTCCATGTCGATCTAGCTGACTATGTGAGTTGGTTGTGTCACTTCTGAGTTTAAAACAAACTGGTCCCTATAATCCACAATGCTAAGACCTTGAACCCCCTCCTAGGCTGCAGTCCACAGAAACTTTTCTTACTTCTGTATCTAATATTAGACCTACTATTACCCCAGGCTCCTTGACTACAAAGCCGCTCCCAACTTTTTCATTAGATATTTCCATCAGATAGAATCCCCAGGCCTCAATGCTCACCTAAATCAAAGGCCACTTGTGCCCACAAGCGAGCTTTACAGGCAGCAGACAATCATCCTACATTACATGGATATTATCGGCCTTTTGTCTGCCAGAGATTCACCTTTTACAGAAAAAATAATATACAATGTATGTCAGAGGAGCACAAAGCATTCCACTACCCCAAGATGACTCCCATAAATAGAAAAAACCTGTTTTATACCATTCTCATTCTTCCTCAAATATGGAAGATGACGATTATGCACCTTGTAAAGAATGCATTAACATATTCCAACTAAAAAGATGTCTGACTTTTATTCCAAAAAGTAAGAGAAACTTGTAATTCAGAGATTAAAGTACTTTTTACAACAGGTGACCCATAGGATAGATTGCATAGGTGATGAGCTACAGTCAACCAAAAGAGGTTTAAATGTTAGAATTCCAACTCAAAGCTCAATCCTCTAGTAATAAAGACCCATGGACATAAACAATAGAGGTCAATGGACTAACCTCAGAATTAAAGCCCCTCCAGAGCCAGCAGGTGCTTTACGGCTAAGTCAACCTTTTGCAAAAAAAAAAAAAAAAAAACAAAAATGCACCTATATTAATTAATAAAAACTGTGTATAATATTTTTTTGTATAGAATCCTAGAAAGCATTGCATCCTAATAAGTGGATAAAACATTGATAACACCCAACCACATTCACATCCTGAATCCCTTTCTGCCGTTGTTCCCAAACCTAGCACATCTTACCTCTACCTACACCCACATATCCTCTCTATCCTGCACCAGTTAAACTTGCACATTTTGCCCCATCTATCCTTCCCAGCACCCTCAAACCCCTTTACACCCCACTATCATTCCTGTTCTGACACTGCCCATTTACAGTTTCCTTATCACTTCTTACCCTTTGCCACCTACTCCTCTGCTGGCCCCTTTTACAACTGTCCACCTTTCTTCATTTCCCCCAAACCTCCTCTAACCTCTACCTCCATCTCCCACACTCGTCCTACAACTACTCCACACAGCCCTCCTCTGCTTCCAGTACCATCTTACAACATATTCTTTCTCAACCTTACACCTATCCTATGCTTTCTCCACCTCTTCACACCCTCTTCTCCCCCTATCAAGCCTCATATATTCACTCCCACATTTTCAGCCCTCCTTTTCCCCCTCCAACTATGTGCCACCATTTACCTCCTCCTCATCCCCCTCCAACCTTGGACAACACTCCTATGCTAACAGCTGCTCACTGTCCCACCCTCCAATCCCCCCTAAAATATATGTTTGCATATCATATATATAACTGTATAAGTTCATAAAAATCCAAATTAGTGCACCTAAAGTCTTGTAATGGCAGTGTCAGGGAGCTCAGATCTGGCCGCGATTGTGCACGGGTCTGCGCATGCGCGGTATGCCCAGCCGCACTAGCGTGCGAGCATCGGGACCCGGGCACCCGCGACAGCAGCGGCGGTCACGCATGCGCACTCACGAACGCGGACGCGCGCCCAACACCAATCAGGGCACAGGGCGCCCTATTTAAAACAGGACAGGTCTGTGTTCTAATTGCCGTATGGTCTTACCTGTATCCTGTGTTTCCTGTATTGAGATTGCCTTGTTGCCAACTCTGCTTGACCCTGATTTGCTGATTGTCTCCTGTTCTGATCTCTTGTTACCGAACCCAGCTTGTGACCCATTTATCCTTCTGTCTACTGTTTTGGTACCATTCTGCCTCCACCGTTACCGACCCAGCCTGCCCGACTCTGCTCTCGCTACCTCTTCACATCAGGCTCTCACCTGCTATACACCTCCGGTGGTGCTTCTACCACAGCTGGGTGAACCCGGGGGTCGCGACCTGGTCTCGGCCTGCTCTAAGTCCATCCCCACCATCAGGGGCCCTGGTGAACAAGCAGGTTGGGACTTAGATTCCGCGCCTTGGGGGATTCCGGTCTGTAGAACGCTAGAGGCTACCGCCGGCAGGGACATAACAGGCAGCCATATTATACATCCCCTTGGGCTCAAGGAATGGCATATATTAACTGTCTGGGCTCATGATACAAGGTTATGGTATTGGAACCATTAAGACAGAAGCATGGGGGACAGTAGCAAATACTATTAATGCAGTTTTGGCCAGACCCATCCCTGGATGATTAAAACTTGTGACCTAGAAAGTATTAGACCTCTGTGTAATAGGAGACAGAAGCAATATGTAAACTGTAAAAAAAAAAAATGAGCACTAGGAAGTCATACAAACTCCTTGCTGGTAGTGTCCAAGTCAGGATTCAAACCCAACCCCCCAAACACAGCAAGGCAGAAATGTTAAACACTTAGTCTTTGTGCTGCTATTTGCATGCCACATCTGTTAATATGATCACACACTATGATACAAGCTTCTTTTGTGTCCTTTTGTCTAGGATTGAAAAGGTTCTATTTTAAAATCATACATCTAGCACAGGGGTCTGCAACCTTTAAGACCTAAAGAGCCACTTGGACCCGTTTCCGAGAGGGAAAAAAAGACTGGGAGCCGCAAAACCATTGCAACATTTAAAACAAATCCGACACTGCATATATTGCAAAAAACGCTCTGGTCATGAAGGGGGTTTAAGGGCCCAGTAAGCAAAGGGTTAATCAGGGCCACAGTGTATCGTCATAATCACAATCATAGCCTTAGGTCAGTGGTGGGCAACCTTTTTTTTCAACTGAGCCAAATCTCGCCAAAACCACGATTGAAATTTATTTTGAGAGCCACATTTTTAAAACTGAAAATACATCCCCCATATAGTAATTCATCCCCCATAGTAATTCATCCCCCATATAGTAATTCATCCCCCATAGTAATTCATCCCCCATATAGTAGTTCATCCCCCATAGTAATTCATCCCCCATATAGTAATTCATCCCCCATATAGTAATTCATCCCCCATAGTAATTCATCCCCCATATAGTAATTCATCCCCCCTATAGTAATTCATTCCCCATATTAATTCATCCCCCATATTACGTCCCCAAGTCCCCCCTGTGTCAATTCACTTACCTTTGCTCCGCGCGGTCCTCTCGCCGTGTTCCCCGCGCCGTGTTCCCGCGCCGTTCCGGTGTGGCATTAAAATCTGTCTCCTATGAGGATCTGTCCCCCTCGACGTATCTGCGCATGTGCCAGTTTCAGGCATTAGCAGCCGATCGGCGATCTCCGGCACATGCGCAGATACGTCGAGGGGGACAGATCCTCATAGGAGACAGATTTTCATGCTACACCGGTCTTCAGGGCAGACTGTGAGAGGAGCCTAGCGGGAGCCTAGCTCCGCGAGCCAGATTAAAAGGTTCGCCGGGCCGTAGTTTGCCCATTGCTGCCCTATTGCCTGTCACCTGGTGGGCAGTGTGCTCCGGAGCCGCAGCCAAGGTGAAAAAGAGCCGCATGCGGCTCTGGAGCCGCGGGTTGCCGACACCCAATCTAGCATCAGATTGGAGTTTCCAATAAAGAATTGCAAGAGTAGCTGATCCTTAACTGTTGGTTAAAAAAGAGCTGTACAGTAAGTGTCTATCCATAAACACACACACATCCAACCCCATCCAAAAGAACACCCCCGTCACAACAAAAATATAAAACAAAACATATTAAAGTAGTTCTAAAGCCGAAACATGCAGGAAATTCATTAAGGTAACAAAATGTTTAGGTAGCAGTATCATTCTCCCCTCCATACTTACCTGAACCTTCGTATGATCCAGCGCTGTGCCCATCTGTAGCAGCTCTCACAGACCTTGCTGAGGCAGCGAGAGCCATTGGCTCCCACTGCTGCTAGTAAAATCCTGTGATGATCAAGCTGAGCCATGCTGTCTGTGTCTATGGATGCAGGCAGCCGGGCTTGGGATCAAGCCTACAGGCTTCCAATAGGAAGCAGCTTCCTATGGTGTCACACCAAGCAGAGGAGGAGCCAGGAGTCTCATCAGGGAACCTGAGAAGAGGAATATCTGGGGCCCCTCCGTGCAATTCCATTGCACAGAGCTGGAAAGTATATCATGCTTGTTATAAATATACAGTATCAACAGAACAGCGCTGATTATAACCATCTATGAATAGTTATGTGAAACATGCAAATGAAAATAAATATACTGTGTGTATTTATGTATATATATATATATGTGTATATACAGTTGCAAGAAAAAGTATGAGAAACCCCTTAGGATTACGTAGAGTTTTGCATGAATTGGGCATAAAATGTGCTCTAAACGTCATCTAAGTCACAACAATAGAAGAACACAGTCTGCTGAACATAATACTACACAAACATTAGATGTTGCCATGGTTTAATTGCACAGAACATGTAAACATTCACAGTGCAGGGAGGAAAAAGTATGTGAGGCCCTAGCTTAATGACTTCTCCCAGAGCTAATTGGAGCCAGGAGTGAGCCAACCTTGACTCCAATCAGTGTGATGATATTGGATGTGTTGCTGACAGCTGTCCTGCCCTTAAAAAACACACACCTGTTTTGGGTTTACTGGTTTCAAGAAGCACTGTCTGATGTGAACCATGCCTCGCAGAAAAGAGCTCTCAGAAGACTTACGATCAAGAATTGTTGACTTGCATGAAGCTGGAAAGGGTTACAAAAGTATCTCCAAAAGCCTTGATGTTCATGTGTCCACGGTAAGACAGACTGTCTACAAATGGAGAAAGTTTAGCACTGTTGCTACTCTCCCTAGGCATGGTCGTCCTGTAAAAATGACTGCAAGAGCACAGCGCAGAATGCTGCATGAGGTAAAGAAGAATCCCAGAGTGTCAGCTAAAGACCTACAGAAATCTCTGGCACATGCTAACATTTTTGTTGACACATCTACAATAAGGAAAACATTAAACAAGAATGGAGTACATGGGAGGACACCACGGAGGAAGCCATTGCTGTCCAAAAAGAATATTGCAGCACGTTTGAAGTTTTCAAAAGAGCACCTGGATGTTCCACAGCACTACTAGCAAAATATACTGTGGACAGATGGAACCAAGATGGAGTTGTTTGGGAAGAACACACAACACTATGCATGGAGAAAAAAAGGCACAGCACACCAACATCAAAACCTCATCCCCACTGTAAAACATGGCGGAGGGAGCATCATGGTTTGGGGCTGCTTTGCTGCCTCAGGGCCTGGACGGATTGTTGTCATTGATGGGAAAATGAATTCCAGAGTTTATCAAGACATTTTGCAGGAAAGCGTACGACCATCTGTCCGCCAACTGAAGCTCCGCAGAGGATGGGTGATGCAACAGGACAATGACCCAAAGCATACAAGTAATTCAACAAAACAATGGCTGCAACAGCACAGAATACGCCTTCTGGAGTGGCCCAGTCAGAGTCCTGACCTCAACCCGATTGAAATGCTGTGGCATGACCTTAAGAGAGCGATTCACACCAGACATCCCAAGAATATTGCTACACTGAAACAGTTTTGTGAAGAGGAGTGGTCCAAAATGACTCCAGATCGTTGTGCAGGTCTGATCTGCAACTACAGGAAACGTTTGGTTGAGGTTATTGCTGCCAAAGGAGGGTCAACCAGTTATTAAGTCCAAAGGTTCACATACTTTTTCCTCCCTGCACTGTGAATGTTTACATGTTATGTGCAATTAAACCATGGCAACAGCTAATGTTTGTGTAGTATTATGTTCAGCAGACTGTGTTCTTCTATTGTTGTGACTTAGATGACGTTCAGAGCACATTTTATGCCCAATTCATGCAAAACTCCACGTAATCCCAAGGGGTTCACATACGTTTTCTTGCAACTGTATATATACACACACAAAAAAGCCTTGGTGTATGATCCTTAAAATTTCTTCCACAATGTAAATAATACAGGAAAATGATCTTCAACACCAAGTGCCCTCCACTGCACTCAGGAAAGTGCATGCCTAACAAAGAAAATTAGGCAAACACAGCTCAGATGACTCCAAGACCAAAACAATGGCAGCTCAGGCTTGTCCCCAGGACAAATATGTGGATATAAAAACACTTCCATAGTATAATACTGCCAAGCATACTTTATTGAATCTGACTAAAACATACAGGAAAAATCTTGTTAATCAGCATACATTATTAAATAAACACAGATTTGGCTGTATAAACACAGATAAGCTGAGTACACCACTGGCCGCTGGCTGCTCCAGCCTTTACCGCTGAACACAAACAGGATCCAAAGATAGAAACACAGAAAAAGAAAATCTCTTTATCCAGCGTTGGGCTCCACACACATTTTGTGCATGCTGATTTTTTTCAAGGGGGATGCCCAACAGTGGAAACACCGTGTTAATCCACATATAATTCATTTATAATCCATAAAAAATATTATTTCCTTTGGTACATGAATATTCTATGAGGAGTTGTGATTCAGATAGAGGAAGACCTCTGGACAGAGTGTATCTGGATTTCAACTGCCAATCACAGCAGTCACAAGATCAGAATGTCCGCCTAAACCTTCCAGCATTTAGAACCTCTTAAAGGGCCAGGAGGTGGCTACAAGAGGTTATGGTGTTTTGGTGTTGGTACTATTGTATGTACCGGGATAGAAAACTGGTTACAGCAGCACCTCCATAGGACTGATTATAATTTCTGAATTGTCTAGAATTGTGGGCCAGGTACCCCAGTGCTCTGTCTTAGGTCCAATTCTGTTTAACTTGTTAATAAACAATATAAAAAGTTAGAATAAATAATTCCATCGCAGTGTTTTCTGATAATACAACGCCAAGTTGGGCAATAACATCACAACAGGATATAGAAACTTTACAGTACAAGAAGACCTTGAGAAAATAGAGGGGTGGGCAGCTAAATATGAGATTAAATTTAATATTGAAAAAGTACAGTAATGCACTTGGGAGCAAAGATCATGAATGCAAGTTGTTCTCTAGAGGAAGAATGTTGAAAAGGATCTGGGGGCTAGTAGATCACAGGCTCAGCATTAGCATACAGTGCCAAACTGCAGTAAGCAATGCTAGAAAACTGTATTGCATGCAT